CTATGTATTAAACCCTCTCCATGCAATAAACAAACTAATGTTGAGAATAATACAATAATAACAATAAGGGAATAGTTCCATGAATGCTCATTATCATCGGAACGTGTCCTGACCAGCACAGAAGCCAAAGTGTTGTGTTATCTACTTTAACCCTTCACATGTTGTGCGTTCATAGTTTTATATTTAGCCACTATAAAGAATCCTAGAGGATTAAACGTGGCAGTTTAACAAACAAATGCTGTTGTCTCTTGTCCACTTTCAGTAAACCAAGACAAAGTACTTCAGTAAGGTCTGAACTTCACCGTAACACCAAAGGAAGTTCATGCAAATGAAATTATTACAGCTACAGAGGAAGCTTGCAACCAGATTTAAAAACTTGGACACAGTTTATAAGATATCAACTGCCAGTAAAGTTCACTGATCTCTGACAAATTGTCCAAGTTGAAAAATCACACACAAATATGAAAGAACACAAATTTACATTACTAGCAATACTCTTGTTGTAATGGTTGCATAAGGTTCTTCTCACTAACCTCAACCACCCAAATCCCAAAATTACACCGCCTCTCCCAACCTCTACCACCAGTAAAAGGCCCCGCCACTAAGTACTCAGATAAAAAATGTTGCTACATTGCACATTTACAAGAATTTACAAAGGTCACATCGCAAATGAAGCCTTTAAACGCCATTGAAGACGCACGATATTCTCTTAAAAAAATCAAAACATTGGAAAATTTCCGTAGGAGGAAATAGAACCATTTAAGGTGGTTGAACACAGTTTTGAGGGTGGTCAATGATAACTCGCGTGATAAACAAACAGGGCAGTGAAAAAAGCAATGGTACACAGAAGAAGATCTCTCAAAATCTACTCATTGAATTTTTGTGATTTGGCAGAATTTTTATTTTTATCGTATTTTAAATAATGAGAGCTTTAAAATGGAAGTTGAACAAAAAAATTTTGTGACACAGTTAAATAATTACAGTACAATTATATTATTGATTATCTAAAAACCTGTCCGTTAAAATTTGATCGTGAACATAAGTTTCAAAAGGTAATGATTAATCATAGTAAGCTGTGTGCAAGTTTATAGGGAAATCTAATGAGCGAATTTTATGTAAACTGAGCATAGGTGAAATTTTAAGGTTGTATTCAATCGTTCATGTTGCCATGGAAACTACGAAAACGTCACATTTTACATGTCAATCAAAATCTTTCAACAGTATATTTTTCATTTGCCAAGTTTCAACTTGTGAGCTGGAACCTTTCTCCTGCCATGATTTGGTAAATGACATCTGACTCACAAACTGCCAAAACTGTGTTCAGCTGTCTTAAAGAGTCGTAGCTCAAAAGGAGTAGAAGGTCAGAACTAGGGCAGTTTCTTATTTACCAAATGCAAGGTAAATCATGACCATAAGCACTTCTAAAACATTTTAAAAAGATAAATGCTAAAGTTATTACTGTTTCGTCTACCTGTAATAGCTACTAACCTTCGAAATAGACGAAATACCGGAGGAAAGCATTCATAACTTCTGGGCGCCATCTTTGAAAAAAGTTTTAGTTCCCAGTCCCCCAGTGTAGCCGGCGTAGCGGCGAAACAGGGGGTGGGGGTAGGGGATTGGGAGGAAGGGGAAAAGGGAGGGGGAAACGGGCAATGGGTGCGGCCTATTCCTCCTTCGCTGCAGCAAAAAAAATTGGGGAGAAAAATGCGGAATAGCCTACATACTGACTCTTCTGTTTTACTGAATTAGAATTTTTATCGGGAATCTAATTCCTATTAACAGACTCGAAACTAGGCTCGATTACCAGCCGCTGTTCGGGAAAATGAGCCCGCACTCATCCCCCGTCTCTTCGGGGAGGATCAAAGACAGGACCCGGGAGACGGCGGAAATCGAGCCTAACTCGAAACCTGGTTTTTCAGTCTTATTTCTTGAGCTGTCAGGAACAAATTCGTGAGATGGTTAGATGTACATTCATATGCGCTAATCAAAGTGATCAGGAATCCAGCCCTCTTTTCCCCCTTCTTTCCCCTTCCCTTTCGACGCCTGCCCCGCAAGCTAACATGACTGTATATTCAGACTTCGGATATTATGCGTAACGCAAATAACAAAGGCAAATTAACTGAATGTGTATTCATTTTATATTCAGCAGGCGAGATGTACGTGCCTCAGTGGGACAGTTGGAATATTACAATTTCCCACAAAAAGTAGTTTCTTACTTCGTTCTCTTCATCTCCCGCATTGTCATAACAGCTGGCTACTCAGCAATGCAAGTATATAACCAATGGAAGATAAACAAAGAAAACAAAGAGTGTATGCAAAGACCTCAGTATCGCCTGCTTAGAATACCTAGTGTTTCATACGCGCCATTAAAATTCGTATAGTTAGTTCCTTTGCTGTGCAAAGTCAGGGGCTTATAATATTCACGCAGGGATATCTAAAACATGATGCAAACAGCAAACAAACCAATCCAGCTGCTTGGAGATTTA